GGCCTAGACGGGACGATGATGGAATGGAACTGCAGGGATAAGCCCAGTCGGCTGGCGTTCGGATGGATGGTAAACAAGCCTAGGCCTATATAAATTGCCTTCGGGAGATGGAGTTTTTGAGTGTTTTGTTAAAAAAAATTTCAGGTCGGGCTTTTCTGACGGTCGGGCGGGGATGCTAACCAATTGTTTTATTTTACGTGGCCTTATTTACATAGGCCTAATTGTAGTTTATTTATACGGTATTTCGACTGATATTTGTAACCTTATGTGAACCATCCTAAAGGCCCTGTCACATAGTAGCGAATAGATCTAACGTATGCCGAGCGTTCACTTTTTTTTTCTAAGTCCCGATACGCTCAAATACGTTCAATTTTTTTGGCAAAAAAATAACATTTTTGCGTGAAAGACGAACGCCCAACGAATGAGAAACGAATGCTCATCGTACAACTAGCGTCCATTTAACAAATGACAGCGCGTTCGCAGCGTTCGACCAACGAATGTTCAGCGTACACAACGAATGTCCAGCGAATGTCACACGTATGCCTAACGTATTGACGCCATCTTTAACGTAACGTTGATGTAGGTCAGTATACGCTGAGTGTTCGCTGGCCATTCGTTACTCATTAGTTAGACAAAAGCTATGAATACGTTATGCATTTGCTATGGCAACGTTTCAGGTGGGATTGAACGTGTTTGGACGAACAACGGACGAACAGAAAACGCAAACCCAACGTGCGAAACGTTCAAACAACGAATGCTCACCGTATACATAGCGTATGTAGCAGAACGTTGTCATTAACGTTCAAAATTTTGAACATATCCAAAAATTAAAATTGACCTCAGCGTACCCCAACGAACAGCTAACGAATACAACGTATTACGAACGTGTCACGAACGAATGTCAACTTACGCGAACGTAAACCAATATTTTGATAAACGTTGGCATACGTTGGTTCTATAGACCTATCCAAGAGAACATTTTTGAGTGTCGCCCTCTATTGTCGGCCTAGCTAGCCTGTAGGGAACACCGGGTCCCAGACTACTACGAGGCCTAGGCCGACTCAAAGAGTATAAATAGAACAAGAGAGCAAAGTCCCGTTCGTAAAAACGTCATGCCTGTGTAGGACGCCAACTAACGGTTGTATATTCTTTTTATTACCCAGTGCAGCGCTGCGCAGCGCGGTAGA